TTTTTTAATGCAGTGGGCATGGTAGCCATCACCATCAATGCCCGTGGGGCCTGTACAGAGAGCTGACGACGCTCTGCTCAGAATGAAGGAATCCAGTGCCCTAAATCAGAGCAGCCTTTTCAGAGCCACATAATCTCACAGAAAGGAAAAGTACAAAGGCTGAAAAGGAGGCAGGCCCTGCTTAGTGCGATCTCGGAATGAAACCAGGTTCTAATAGCAAAGGGCTTGTAACACAGATTTTTTAAAAAATGAGTGATTTAAAAAATAAACCCTAGAACCAGAGAAAATGAAGAAAAGATATGTATGCCCTTAGCTCACCATAGCCAGTTTCCATCAAACACATTTTCATTTCCATGGGGCAGGATATGTATCTGCCAAAAAGACACATATTTATTTTTCCTCCCTGAGACCACAAAAACCTCAGACTTCAGGCTTAAAGAAGGGCCTTTGTGAAACTAGTTAATCCAGTCAAATTGAGTTAATGGCTACAAAGAGATCGATGGGATGGGTAATTTACTGTTCAATAATGAGTTGTCGATATGGGGCAAAGAGCTGCTTTGATCAACCATGCAACCAAATCACAGCAACAGCTCAGGGTTCAATGGATTCCTCAGCAATTAATGGTTACGATGGTTAAAAAAAAAAAAAAAAGAAGAAGAAGAAGACAGATCTGACTGGAAATTGGTCTCCTCTGTGCTCAGTGGAGAGGCTGACAGCACGGCGTGTGCATGGCCTCGAAGCTCATTTGCACCTGGAATCATGATGAGGTGCAGAATCCCCTGCAATGTGGATCTTCTGGCAGTTGCAACCTTAATTTGATTACGCATGTCTATTAGGACAAACTGGAAACCTGGATATACCGGTCGCATACAGTTTAAACTGCAAGACTGTTTATACATGTTTTCCCGTAAACTTCAACATGAGTTTTGGATCATACAGCCAATTCTTGTCACAAATGTAAACAAACTGATATACTTAACTATTTAAACGTTGAAAGCTTTTAAGTTGAAGAGAAACCCCTAAAATGTAGAAAAATAAATGAGGGGGCAAAGTCATGACACTTGAGAAAGTTAGTTTCATTGAAATATGAAGATTGCTCACTAGTCAATGAGGAAAGACTCCATAGAGAATTGACAAAGCAAAACAAGAACTTCCTAAAACAGGAAATATATCTAGTCAGTAAAATGTGAAAAAAAAAAAAAATTAACCTCATCAATCATAAAGGAAATGAAAAGGAAAAGCAACTGTTGGCAAAGCTCAAAACGCTTGATGAAAGTACACTGAGAGGCCGGGCGCGGTGGCTCACGCTGGTAATCACAGCATTTTGGGAGCCCGAGGCAGGCAGATCACCTGAGGTCGGGAGTTTGAGACCATGATAAACATGGTGAAACCCCATCTCTACTAAAAATACAAAAAATAGCTGGACGTAGTGACTGGCGCCTGTAATCCCAGCTACTCGGAGGTTGAGGCAGGAGAATGGCTTGAACCCCGGAGGCAGAAGTTGCAGTGAGCTGAGATGATGCCACTGCACTCCAGCCTGGGCTACAGAGTGAGACTCCGTCTAAAAAAAAAAAAAACATTGGGAGATGCATCTGATGCGGTTCGGGACATGCAACCTCAAAATTTGGCATCTTGTGCTTTGAGGAAGTGGTAGATGCAGGAAGGTTACTCTCACCTTCTCTGTGCCCTTCTCGCTTGAAGCCAGTTATGAAAGAATTCCCTGAACTTCTTATAAGGTAGGTCATAAGACTCTCCTTCCAAAGATATTATCCCTATACCCAAAGGAAAGAAATGCCCTTATATATGAAGTTACAGGAACACAGATAAGAATCTGAACAAACAGACCTTGCCAAGATGCTCCCAGTTTATTACCATTACATCACGCCCCTTTCGCCCAATCAACCTTCTACACAACTGTCTACTCTCCATCAAATTTACCTTACAAATACGTAGATTTCTTCACTTCTTCGGGTCTTCATTTCCTAAGGCTCTCGTGTCACCTAAAATAAATATGTTTTTGTGTGGTTTTCTCCTGTTAGTCCTTTTTTTTTTTTTTT